CCACCACTGCTTCTCAGAAACCCTACACATGATTGCTATGAGTCAGAACTGAGTGGACAGTGCTTAATAACAGCACCAATGTTAGTTTCTGTATGCTTCCATCTAACATAAAAAAACAATGCATTCTAGTGAAGGTGTTCACACCCTCAGTCACCATATTCTTATCTGGGTGATGCTAATTCTCTTTTTAAGTCGGACAAAATCCACCTGAATATTCTGCAATTTAGTGACTAATGATTAATGACTAATAGGCAAATCTGCTGCACAAGACCTTTTCAAAGTGTTGAAGAGCAAAAATGTCAGCTTGAAGACTAAGGTGCACTTGACCCAAGCCATGGTATTTTCAATACCATCATATGCATGTGAAAGCTGGTCAGTGAATAAGGAAGACCATAGAAGAACTGATGCTTTGCATTATGGTGTTGGAGAAGAATATTGAAAGTGCCATGGGCTGCCAGAAGAATCAGTAGATCCATTTTGGAACAAGTGCAGCCACAGTGCTCCTTAGAGGCCAAGATGGCTAAACTTTGTCTTTCATACTTCTGACATATTGTTAGGAGAGACCAGTCACTGGAGAAGGATATCATGTTTGGTAAGGTGGAAGGTCAGAGAAAAAGAGGAAGACCCCCAATGAGATGGATTGGCCAAGTGGCAGCATCGATGGACTCAAGCGTGACAACAGTAGTGAGGTTGGCGTAGGACCGGGCAGTGTTTCATTCGGCTGTGCCTAAGGTTGCTGTGGGTCAGAACCGACACTATGGCACCTAACAACAACAACAACAAAAAAAACTGTGAAAGACAGCTACCTAGCCAACTGAATGCAAGAGATGCATGTTCGCACCCATTCCAAAGAATGGTGACCTATCGGAATGTGGAAATTATCAAACAATATAACTAACATCAAATGCAAGTGAATTTTTTCTAAAGAAAATTCAAAAATAGTTGTGGCAGTACATTGACAAGGAGCAGTACTCAGCTGGATTCAGAAGAGGGCATGGAATGAAGGATATCATTGTTGACATCAGCTGGATCTTGACTGAAAAACCAAAAAAGATGTTTACTTGTGTTTTACTGACTATACAAAGGCATTCAACTATGTGGATCATGAGGGCTATGGATAACATTGAAAGAATGGGGATTGCAAAATGCTTAATTGTGCTCATGTGGAACCTGTACCTATATCAAGAGGCAACTGTTGCAACAGAACAAGGGGACATTGAGTGTGTAAAATCAGGAAAAATGTGTGACATGGTCATATTCTTTCACTGTACTGATTTCATCTGTAGCCTGAGCAAATAATCCCAGAAGCTGGCTATATATGGCATCAGAACTGGAGAATGGCTCATTAACAAACTGTGGAGTCCTGGTGTGGCACTGTGGTTTAATGAGCCAGACTGCAAAGCTGTTTGAACTGCAAGGTCAGCAGTTCAAGCTCACCAGCTGCTCCTCAGAAACCCTATACAGAGTTGCTATGGGTCAGAACCAACTCAACAGCACTTCACAACAACAACAATATACAGTTAACATAACTTTGATTTCTGAAAGCCAAGAGGACTTGAAATACTTACCAATGAAAATCAAAGATCATAATCTTCAGTATGGATTACACATTAATGAAAAGAAAACAAAAATCTGCACAACTGTACCAAAAAAACAGCATCATGATAAATGGAGAAAAGATTAAAGTTGTCAAGAATTTCTTTTTGCTTGGAGCCACAATCAACAACTCAAGAAGCAGCAGTCAAGAAATCACACGATGTATCGCATGCATTGTGCTAATCTGCTGCTACAGATCTCTTTAAAGTGTTTAAGAGCAAAGATAATGCTTTGATACTTATGACTTTCTTTGATGTTCTTCATGAGGCAACTCACATGTCCATTATCAAAAAATCTTTATCTTTAGTGGTCCTGTTCTTTCCGGGACACTATAGACTTTTAATACTTACTTGATTGTTGCTGCTCTTAGTTGCCATCAAGTCAGCTTTGACTCCGTCAAGTAAAGGAACAAAACATTTCTTGGGCCTGCACCGTATTTATGATCATTGGTAAGTTTGAGTCCGTGTTGCAACTATTCTTTCAATCCATCTCATTGTGGGTTGCTCTCATTTTCCTTGATGCTCTACCATACCAAATATGATGTCCTTTTCTAGAAATTGTTCTTTCTTGATGACATATCCCAAAGCATATGAATTGAAGTCTAACCATCCCTGTTGCTCAGGAACACTTTGCTTGTATTTCTTACAAGACTAATTTGCCTAATAAACATGTTCTACCACCTAGTTCATTGTGTAGTGCTCAGAGTCTTAAAAGCTTGCAAATTCTTTCTCTTGTTCATCTGTGGAATATTTTGTATTCTTCATGAACTCCACAATTAAAATGCATCAGTTCTTAAGGGTCCTATAATTTATCAGCAAAGTCAGGCAATTAAGCAACATATAACAATATGATGATAAGTGGGTAAGTGCTCTGATACAGAAGTCCTGTGAGCTATGATGAAGCACTCCAACTTCTGTTTGGGAAAATGACTCACCTTATTGAATAATACTTAAGATACTTCCTCAAAGGTTCTGGAAGTCTACTATGCAATTTATTTTACTTTGAAAGATGTTCTAATTTAGAATTTAGGCAAAGTTTCATTTCCTGTAATATAATGTTTCATCAGTTTGACTATTCTAAATTTCTAGTGACTATAGACCCTTGTTCTGGTAGCATAGTGGTTATGAATCGGGCTGCGAACCTTAAGGTCAGCGGTTCGAAACTACCAGCTGCTCCGCGGGAGAAAGATGAGGCTTTCTACTCCCATAAAGATTTACACCCTCGGAAACCCTGTACAGGGTCACTGTGGGTCGGAACTGACTCGACGGCACTTAACAACAACAACAACATAGACCCTTAGTTCTAGAGACCCCTAACTTCTTATAGATGACAGTGCTTTGACTGTGCACCCATTCTCCCCCTTCTTTTCAGAGTTGTTCTTCCTTTATTTACACAAACTCACTGCTCCCTAGAGTTCCTATCTAATATTTAAGTTGCTGCTGTCACTTTGAGCCCATATTGTTGGTGGTGTTAAGTGCTGTTGCATCAGTTCCGACCCATAGTGAACCTGTACAGGCTTTCCTAGAAGTGGCTGGTGAGTTTGAATGGCTGACCTTGCAGTTCAAACCTACCTTATGGTCAAGTGCTTATCCTACAACTCCATACCAGAACTCTGATATAGATAGCTCTTAAATGAGCATAGTGCTCAAGTTAGACATTTTTCATTAGTTAAGCTACACCATTGCTTGACTTTAGGAGATAGTTTTGATTCAAGGTTTAAAGATGATCTCAGGATGATAGTTTCAGGGGTTCATTCAGGGTTCACAGATCCAGAAAGTGTTATGCATGTCTCTACTTTTGATCAAGGTTTTTCAAATGATTCTTTCAATGAAGTATTCAGCAATGGTAGCCAGGCACCATCCAATTCTTCTTCTGATCTCCTAACAAAGGAAGCATTGTTCATGGAAGTAATTGGCCGCATATCCCATAGCCTCCTCTTGTTCCTGTCTCTCCTTCTTGCTTTGTTGTGAATAGAAGCCAATTGCCATACCTTGGATAGCCGTTTGCAAATATTTAATATCCCTAGCACTACACAATGAAATAGGAGGTAGAACAGAAGCAGTAAACATCTTATTAGGCCAGTGAACTGGAAGGTCCTATTAAACCATGATCTTAAACCACCAAACTGAGGAACTAGATCCCACAAGACGTCACACAACTTGAAAAATATAATCAGTGTCACTGACTTGTCCATGTAGAAACAGTTGTATTGGTGTATTGGTTTGTTTTGTAAATTCTCAACAACAGAGTAAAAAAGTCTTAAAAAAAAGTTTTAGTTGAAGAATATAAATGACTATCTTCAATCACCATTGAAATTTCTCTTATCCCTAATAGTTGGTTTCCTGAAAATACAGATAATGTTTCTTCTGAAATCACTGCTAATTAATCATTTAAACCAGTATCTCTCATCCTTATGAATATAATGTGTAAAGGTCACTTAAGGCTGTATGTGGAGACAATTTAACGTTGTAGTCGTGAGAGTATAGGCTCTGAAGGCAGACACCTACATCCAAATCCTGATTCAAACTCTTGTTGCAGTCTCTCTATGGCTTATTTTTCTCATCTCTAAAATGGTGATAATAAGACTGCCTGCACTGTAGAATCGTTAGGAGAGAGTTCAATGAGTCAGTGCATGTCGGGACTTAGAACAGTGAGTAATACATCATGAGTAATATCTAATGCATTAATAAATAAGGTCATTGTACTTTTGAAGCACATCTATTGAGGGTATCTTTTTATAAAACATTATCTATTGTAAGTGCATTTAATTTATTCATTTTTTGACATTACTGATTTAGAATACATATTATAACAATTATCAGGGTGCAATTGAAAGACTCCCATGCTGGGATTCTTGGGTACTGTTTTTGTCTCTGTTGCTAATTTGCATAACAATTTGTTATTCAAAGTTTTCAAGTCTCTTTTATCCTTTGGAAAGAGGCAGGGTTTTGTTGTTGTTGTTGTTATGTGCTGTGGAGTCTGTTCCTACTCATAGTGACCCTATACAGGGTTTTCGAGGCTGTAAATCTTTACAGGAGCAGAAAGCCTCATCTTTCTCCCACGGAACAGCTGGTAGCTTCGAACTGCTGACCTTGAGATTCACAGCCTGATTCGTAACCACTACGCTACCAGAGCTCTTTTATACTATATACCATGAATCCGTGGTTTAATGAAACTAAAGACGACCTTCTTAGCTATTGTCTGGTTGTTGCTGTTAAGTGCCATGGAGTTGGTACTGACCTATAGCAACCCTGTATAGGCTTTCTAAGGAGCAGCTGGTGAGCTTGAACTGCCAACCTTGCGGTTCAAACCGACCTTGCAGTCTAGCGCATTAACACACAGCATAACACCAGGACTCCTTATTGTCTAGTAGTCATACTAAAAGCAATTTATTGTCTTTCCAGGTATTATAACAAGCTATGGGTTATATCTACATGATGTATTAATTCACAATTCCTCAGAACTCAGCTGTCATGCTCATGGATTCATTCCTTGGAACTTGCATTCCTTCTGAGTCCAGGCATGCACCGTCAAAGGCTGTGCAATGGGCCTGCTGGTGAGTATGTGAATTTGCATTCTGGGGAGGTACTAAATGTCAGATGACAATGAATGTCAAGGGAGAACTAAGTGCTGGTGACTCACAGTGAGCAATACTAGCCTTTCAGACTAGATGGGAGATTTTCTTTTCATAAAACTTCATTTAAGTGTTCCTAAGATTTTATGTTCAACATAAATTTCAAAACTGCACATAGGTCTGGTGAAGGGCATAATATACGTTTTACTGAATGAACAGAAAGTTGGCAGGTTTAGCTGGCACAGATAAAATTTTGGCTTACTGAGGTATTTAAAGTGGCTGTTTCCCTCACTGATAATACATTCAGCAACTAAATAAGCTTAAAATTAAATGTGAAAAACAATTAAAAGTCTTTAAATGCCACAATATAGCAACACTGCTCCCCCAAAGTAAGTTAATTGATTAAAAAATAGAGTGTATGTTTTGTTAAAGGAGCTCCGGTAGCACAGTGGTTATGAATTGGGCTGCGAACCTCAGGGTCAGCAGTTTGAAACTACCAGCTGTTCCACGGGAGAAAGATGAGGCTTTCTGCTCCTGTAAAGATTTATAGCCTCGGAAACCCTGTACAGGGTCGCTATGAGTTGGAACTGACTCCACGGCATAACACAACAACAAATATTTTGTTAGATGCCATCAAGTTGGTACCGACTCATAGTGATCCATGTACAACAGAACGAAACACTGGCCAATCCTGGACCAACCTCACAATTGTTGCCACGCTTGAACACATTGATGTTGCTACTTTGCCAATCCATCTCCATAGGGATCTTCCTCTTTTGTATATATTAGACTTCTTTAAAGTGTTAGGAAGCAAATATGTCACTTTGAGAACTAAACCTGACCCAAGCTAAATATTTTCAATAGCCTTATATGCATGTGTGGAGTATTCGTGTGACACTATAGGATAAGCACTTGACTACAAGTTCAGTTTGAACCTAAAGGTTGGAGAGTCAAATTTACCAGCCACTGCTTGGAAACCCTATACAGGATGGCTATGAGTCTGAATCAACTCAAAAGCATTTAACAACAACAGTAACATGTGCATGCGAAAACTGAACAATGAATAGGGAAGAGTGAAGAGGTGATGCCTTTGAATTATGGCAAAGAATATCAAATGAACTATGGACTACCAGAAGAACAAAAGCAATTGTCTTAGCAGAAGTACAGCCAGAATGTTCCTTAGAAGGGAAAATGACAAAACTTTCAGCCTGACAGTGGACTCTAACATTAACAGCATAATGTTCAACTAAAATATTCTAATTTTGTCTGATTGTTCTTCATAAGAGCAATATTTAAAATTATATTAAATTTTTTTGCAAATCCAATTTTGCAAAGTGCTGTAAGTCATTAACACTTAAAGCTTTTTAAAATTATGTTTTTTAAATATATATTTTAAAACCCAAATGTTGTTGTTGTAAAATGCCATTGAGTTGGTTCTGACTCACAGCAACCCTGTACAGGGTATTGAGGGAGCAGCTGGTGGATTTGAACTGCCAAACTTGTGGCTAGCAGTCCGGTGCTTATCGTACAGTGCCACACCAGGACTCCAAAACCCAGTTAATGGTACACAATTTTCCTAGAATAACATGGTGTGCTTTCATTTCTGAACATCACAGTTTACTTTGTTTTTTACTTCGTTAAATAAGCGTAACTTCTTTTAAATTAAATATTCATTATTTTTAGGGATTCTTGGCAATGTTTGCTAATACTCTACCATTTTAATGCTCTCTGTCTCCATTGAAGAGTTTATTAAATAAATATTATCTTGAAAAACAGCTCTCATTTTAAAATTTTGACTTCCTTATTGTTGATCACACCTCCCATTTCATTTCACAAATTGGTTGCTTTCCAAGCTGCTAACATCATCTATCCGTGGAGCTGAGCTATAGTCTTTATTGCCATTAAGCATTTTTATAGCCAAGACCCCTCTGAGAGATACTTACTCTTAAAAGCAGGAATGGCTTTAGGCCAGCTTTCCTTCTCCATTCAAACAAACAAACAAACAAACAAACAAACAAACAAACAAACAAAAGACTCTCTAACATGGACTTGAAACTTAGACTTTTTCAAGAATATAAACTGCAAATTGTGATTCTGGCACTAAATTGGCTTTCACACGGTCCGTCTCCTAATGTTGTGATAACTTTAAACAAGGGGGACTGTTGTCAGTCTGCATCCTGCTCCAGTCGTGGGTAATGTTGCCTTAAGAAATGAAATGCTATCATACCCTAATTGTTATTGTTGTTGTTGTTAAGTATCCTTGAGTTGTTCCAAACTCATAGGAACCCAATATAGGGTTTCTGAAGCTTTAAATCTTCATGAGAGCAGAAAACCTCATCTTTCTCTCGCATGATACCCTAATAGGAAGGGGAAAAACCTAATTGGATTGTAAAAGATCCACTTTGCCACAACCTCAGAAATTCTCTACTTTGTTCTTACTTGAAACACAAGAGTCATTTTCTCCCGTTGGTACTTTTCTTTATCCAGCACTCAGTATGCAAATGCTTTTCCCATGTCAATGATCCATCTCTGATCACTGGTATTAAACAGCAATGTTTTTATTTAGAACAAGTCAACTATACACTGCCAGAAAAACCCATGATTATCACTTGGTTTCTGAAATCATTTTGTACCAATTACAGTAAATATTTTGTTCCCCAATGATTACATATCTAAGTATTTTAAATAGCCCTAAATAACTATTACAATTATGAGAGAGAATGAAGATACAGTTCTTGTTTTTACTGATGATTTTTAAAAATGTGTCTTTACTGATTTAAGAAATCTCTGAATCAATTTGAAAAGCCAGACTTTCCTACCATTGAGTTGTATGTGATAGTCCACAAAATTCACCCAAATGTAGCACCACTGTATCTGACTCTTAAAGGTGTTTTTTTGTAAAGCTCAATGTTGCAAAATATTTTGCATTTGAATTAAACAAACTGAAAAAACTATAATTTTTTTAAAAAAAAACTTGTGCTGAAAGAAATAAAAATAAAAATTTTGAGTCAGTGTGATTTTGGGTGACACTGTAGGATTAAACACTGGACCGCAGTTAGATCAGTTTGAACCACATGGTCAGCTGTGAAAACTCTACAGCCACTCCTTGGAACCCTGTATAGGGTCACTTGATGAATCAACTTGATGGCGCTTAACAACAACAAAATTGTTCAATAAAAATTCTTGGTTTTTAGGAAGAGAAAGCTATTATTTTTGTTTAATTTTTTTTTTTTTACCTCTCTTACATATTTAATAACACTATTATCCCTATCTGCATAAAAACAGTATTCAATGTTTTCTATGGGAAATATGTTCTAGTCTTTCATGTAGTATAGTTTATCTTCAAAATTAGCAAGTTGCTCTTTTAATAAAAGGTAAAAAAAAGAAAGAAAGAAAGAATAGAAAAAGTGGAAAGTTGCGGCAAAATAGAATATTTTAAAAAATATAAACACAAAAATTCTGAATTCTTACCCTTTTAGTGTCATTGTAGCCAACTTTTTTCTAAGTAATTTATAAATAGAATATTTAATTCTGAAGGAATTAATTAAATTAAATTAAAGAACATTTCCTGTGGCTAATTCATTTCTTCTCCAGTTAAAATAATGTTTTTAACATTTAAAGAAATTCCAACCTAAAAACCAAATTATAAATGAATTTTAAGATGCTAATATGAATGGTCAAATTACATCTAGGAATTGGGTTTTAATTGCTTGAAATAATTAGGTAAATTATTGTAGAATGCAACAGAAAATAACTTAAGTGCTTTCCTTGCTTTCAGTTATATTGGAGAGAAGCCAGTCACTATTATATTTCTAGAATAATTATGTCCAAATGCAAATCACTGCATTTTTTGCCCACTTAGCTAATGTTAGATAACACTGTGGAGTCTAAGATTGGGAATTTTATGACGGTGTCTGGCTTTGGAACTCTCATTGGATCCAATTCTCCAGGTGCTCTTCAGATGAGGTGGGAAACTATAAGTCACTGCTGTAAGATATTGTTAAAACAAAGTCTTGGTTTCTTGACAATGGCCTGCTTATGCAGATAAATAAACACGCAGATACACATACACACATTTTTCTAAGTCGCAAAGCTTACAGGGAAATAAACCAATTTGGAATTTGAAGACGCTTAAATAGTAATTGCAATATATGTTAGGGTAGAAAACACCTGTCATGGAAAGATTTTCCCTATTGTTCTTTGGGAAATATACTTATTTTGTTAAGCCTCTGTTTACTCAACCATTACAAAGTGGAAATATTATAAAATTACTACCTTGGGAGGTTTAGGTGATAAATTAAATAAAATATTATTAAAGGGATTTCTGGCACATAATAAAGGTCTTATTAAGAATGAAAACTTATGGTGATGAACAAATTACAGTTGCTTGCAAATATTTTTGTCTACATAAAGGGAGATGTCCAGCTAAAGACAAGACACCTTTTACCTTCCCAGGGCCTTTTCCTTAATATTCTCCTTAGGAAATAGAAGTTGTTTTTTTTTTTTTTAAGGTTAGAATTAAAGGGCAGGAGAAAGAAAAAAGACTGGATCATAGTAAAAGTACTGTTGTCAAATACATGCTTCTACAAACACAGACAAAATAAAATTAGGAATTTATGCTTCAGTTGCTTATTGAGAACATTTGACTTTTATAATTGAAAACTATTTTTAAAATGCTATTTATAAAATAAACAGAAGAATATACATACATGCACCCATGTTCATAGTGTTTTGTGAGAAAAAAAAAATGATTAATCCAGTTTTTATCTAATGTCCAAATTCAAAATAATCATAAAATATATTTCATATGTTAATTGAAGTTTATTTCTATGTTTATAAAGTAAAGTAAAAAGTACAGGGTTTATTCAGCTAGTTAAAGAAATTTAGAAAGATATTTATTTTGAATTAACCAGATATTTAACGAAACATATAGGAAAATGAATTATTTGGAATTGTCTCTAATTCTTTACTTAACTCTTTGAGACTTATTTTATTTTAAATCCTTTATAACCACTTCTTACAGAGTAATTTGATCCAAATGCGTAGGTTTAATGAAGCCAATTGCATTATTACAAAATGTTAAACTGATGTTTTTGCAGTCAAGTTTCTTATCCTTAATGTTGTTGTTAGGTCCCATTGAGTCAGCACCGACCCACAGCGACCTTATGCACAGTAGAACGAAACACTGCCCAATCCTGGGCCAACCTCACTACTGTTGCCATGCTTAAGTCCATCGCTGCTGCCACTTGGCCAATCCATCTCGTTGGGGGTGTTCCTATTTTCCTCTGACCCTCCACCTTACCAAACATGATGTCCTTCTCCAGCAATTGGTCCCTCCTGACAATATATCCAAAATATGAGAGACGAAATTTGGCCCTCTTGGCCTCTAAAGAGCAGTCTGGCTGCACTTCTTCCAAAACCCATCTATTGGTTCTTTTGGCAGCCCATGATACTTTCAATATTCTCCTCCAACACCATAACTCAAAGGCATCAATTCTCCAGTCTTCCTTATTCACTGTCCAGCTTTTGCAAGCACATGAGGTTATTGAAAATACCATGGCTTGGGTCAGGTGCACCTTAGTCCTCAAGCTGACATCTTTGCTCTTCACACTTTATATCCTTAATATTTTGTGGTTTTTTTGGAACATAACTAAAACACTAGAAAAATAATAGGCGTTACATATCTAAACAACCTTTTTTAGCTGAAAATAAAACATGCCATCACCTCATACTTATTAAAAATTAACCTCTTTTCACATTTAACTTTATTACTGGGAAAGTATATTCACCATAAGAAATAGAAGTTTAAAAATTGAGACTATTTGCCTGCCTGTGGGTTTCATATCTGATCACTGTCTTGTGAGGCATGAGCCTATACTTTATGACTGAGGTAAAATTCATCCACATATTCAATAGTCTTAAGTGGTCAATCAGTTGTGAAGGATGCGTATGAATTTCTGATAATGAGCTAGCCAAGTTTAGGCTAGTGATTAAAATATAGTAAACTGTGCTATATAAATCAAATAAGCCCTTTCTGATTTCCTGTCACCTTCACCTTTCTTTGGTCATTTAGCCATTTTACTTATTTAGCTACTGAAGTCTCCCCAGCCACTGTGTAATCATGTATTACATTTTATTTCAGAATGCTTCTCTTCAAATAATTCATCTTTTGCTGTTTTTACCATAAGTTCATTAACACTATATTAATGAAACTTATCAGCCTTTTTAAACATTAATGATTCTACTTTGGACTAAAATCACTCAGGTGTCCTTATTTCTTGATATCTGGCATAATGCCATCTTTACATACTTAGAGCAAAACAGCGCAAAGTACTGTTTTAATGTTTGTGTGTCTCAAGATGCTTGGAGTGGCTTTTTAACAAAGCCCTAAAATCTGTCATTTCAGGCAGGAACTTATAAAAGAGACTTGATGTATTCCTTCTCTTTTGCAATCACATCAAAATTATTGTTAAAGCAGCCTTAGAAGTAGTTTATGGCTATCCCCAGCCACAAGGGCAATCACAGTGTGAGCTGATCCACGCTTTCTGGAAATCACAAACAACTGCTTTGGTCACAAACTCGAATTTTAAGCTTAACAGCAGGAGGAAGAAAACATGAGATATGCTTTGATCCTGCTGACAAAATGAGGTATTCATACAAGATGCTACTGTCAAAATAGTTTACTTCACAGCAAAGAGAGATTCTTTGAAGAAATATGCTCAAAGTGCAGCGTGTGCTTACTTTATTTGCAAACAAAAATAAATCTTTTTTATACTCACAGGTGGAAAATCGAACTCTAGAAGCCCCTCCTGAAGGACCAGTAAATGTGTTTATCAAAACAGAGGGAAGCAGAGAAGCCCATGTAAAGTGGGAAACTCATTTTTCCCCTAATGGATGCTTAACATACTCTGTCCTTTTTACTGGAATTTTCTATGCAGATCAAGGTAATTTGTTTGTCGTTTTGAAATGTTAATTAACATTAGAAAACCATTTCTTTTCTTTAGAAATCTTTCCTTTAGCTACAGATTTTCATTGTTTTAAATCTTCCATAAAAATCACTTATTTGGATGAGGAAGTGTTTTGGTTAAGTGCCATCAAGTCAGTTCCAACTCATAGCAACCCTGTACAGGGTTTCTGAGGGGAAGCTGGTGAGTTTGAACCACCAACCTTGCTGTTCAAACTGACCTTAGAGTTGAACACTTATCCTACAGTGCCATAGCTCTCAAAGCCTGGTCTGTAGTGTAGCAAAAATAGATGACTGAGAAATCGTTGGCAATGTAAATTCCCAGTCCCATTCCAGACCTTGTTGTTGTTAAGTGCCTTGGAGCTG